AGCCAGACAATGCCGGCTGGCGGCCCCCCGGAGGAGAGCCTTCTCTGTGGCTGCTCCCACCCTCTGGAACCAGCTACCCCCAGAGGTCCGGTACTTACCCACTCTCATGGCCTTCAGAAAAGCTGTTAAAACCTGGCTGTTCCAGCAGGCCTGGGGCTGTTGACCTTATTGTTAAGGTCCAGCCCCGATCAGAAATGTATGCATGTTGGGAATTTTTAAATTATTCTTTTATTTTGCTTTTCTTTTTTTCTTCTTTGTAAGCCGCCCGGAGTCCTCCGGGATTGGGCGGCCTATAAATTTAACAAATAAAATAAATAAATAAATATACACATGCACATATTGATTGATATGGGCAGATTGGAATCTTCAGAACTGCCATAGTTAGCAACTCCTATATTGAGAAGTAGGTAAGGTATTTATTACATAAGAAAACTATATTCTTAATATTCTTAATATGTGGCATGAAGAGGAAAACATAACGTTAAGTAAAAGACCTACCAGTAGAATTTCGATTGTGCCAAGAATATACATAGCTCCTGCAAAAGTTGTGCCCAAGTAAAAACAGAGTCCCACAGCTCCACCAAACTCTGGCCCTAATGACCGTGAGATCATATAATACGAACCACCAGCTGTGAAATTAAAATGGAAAAAGACACAAATTAGCGTGGTATAGAACACATTTACCATATTCAAAGCATAATTTGCCTTGCTCAACTAATTGGGACGCCAAATCAGATGAAGCATGCCAGAAAGCCAATCTGATTTGAAAGACTAAGTGAAATATTTTAGTGAGAAAGCACTGCTTAACCATGGCGGGAAAATACTAAAGCTTGCAATGCATACTGAAGGGATATTCCGCCAAACGGATTAGAAGTATTCCCTCAAAGAGTTAAAGCAGATACATTCTTTGGAGGACTCATGTGGCTATTTCAAAGGCTGTCCTGTGTGTGAGCATGCATGCCCCATGCACAGATAATATGACACCAATGCTTCAAGGAGGGAGGCTTAGATGAGTCTACTAACTTTAAACCTTATTTATTTTTGCATCCTCGAGTCAATTTTGAATCCCGGTGACTACCTGGATTAGTCCTTGAATTTTTCTTGGCAAGGTTTTCAAAAATGATTTGCTATTGCCTCCTTTCTAGGGCTGAGAAAGTGTGATTGGCCCAACGTAATCCAGTTGACTTCATTCATAAGGTGGGACAAGAATACACCAACTCTTGGTTTCTAGTCCAGTGCCTTAATCACCACACTGAACTCTCTCTCAAAACACTTATTAATATAAATTAATTCTATCAATTAATGTAAATTAATTCTATCAATTAATGTAAATTAATTCTATCAATTAATGTAAATTAATTCTTTCAATTAATGTAAATTAATTCTTTCAATTAATGTAAATTAATTCTTTCAATTAATGTAAATTAATTCTCTCTTCTATGTTCCATATTGCGGATTATCACTTCTGTATTGTAAAGTGGGCTATGCAGTGACTTCCTTTTGCAGTACTGAGGCTCCAATGTTTTAGATATTTTAAATTCCATCTCATTCTGACCCACTTCCTAAACCATTAATCCTTGTTAACATTTCTATTTCAGCTATTTGTATTTAAACTTCTTTTACATTACTTTACACTAGAATGATTAAATGGCTATTATAAACTTTTTACAGAGAAACGGGATACAGAGATTATTTTTTAAAAATAAACAGATAAGTAATAGTCAGGGATTAAGTTCACTGGTAATGTACATTATAAACCCAGATTATTAAAGATCCTTT